TTCATGTCTGGCATTTAGGTCACCCTGATGCAAAAGGTGGGCTCCCATGGCCTTGGGAAGCTCCACCCCTGTGGCTTTGCAGGGTACAGCCTGCCTCCGAGCTGATTTCACAGGCTGGTGTTAAGTTTCTGCAGCTTTTCCCGGTGCACAGTACAAGCTGTCAGTGGATTTTCCATTTTGGAGTGTGGAGGATGGTGGCCCTCTACTCACAGCTACACTAGGGAGTGTCCCAATGAGGAGTCTGTGTGGGGGCTCCAACCCCACATTTCCCTTCTACATGACCTAGTCAAGGACCTCCATAAGGACTTTGCCCCTGTAGCAGACTTCTCCCTGGATATCCAGGTGTTTCCATACATCCTCTAAAATCTAGGTAGAGATTCCCAAAGCTCAGTTATTTACTTCTGTACATCTGCAAGCTCAACACCATGTAGAAATTGCCAAGGCTTGGGGCTTGCACCCTCTGAAGCAATGGCCTGAGCTGTACCTTGGCCCTTTTTGGTCATGGCTGGAGCAGTGGGGACACAGGACACCAAGCCACCAAATCCTGAGGCTGCACACAGCAGGGAGGCCCTGAACCTGGCTTAGGAAACTTATTTTTCCCTCCTAGGCCTCCAGGCCTGTGATGGGAGGGAACTGCTGCTAAGGTCTCTGACGTGCCTTGCAGGCATTTTCCCCATCGTACTGATGAGTAGCCATTTGGCTCCTCATTACTTACGCACATTTATGCAGCAGGCTTGAATTTCTCCCCAGGAAATGGGTTTTTCTTTTCTACTGCATCATTTTCAGGCTGCAGTTTTTTCAAACTTTTATGCTCTGTCATTTCTTGAGTGCTTTGCTGATTAGAAATTTTTTTCACCAGATACCCTAAAGCATCTCAAGTTCAAAGTTCCACAGATCTCTAGGGGAGGGGTAAAAAGCCTCCAGCCTCTTTGCTAAAGCATAGCAAAACTGACCTTTACTCCAATTCCCAACAAGTTCCTCATCTCTACCTGAGACCACTTTAGGCTGTACTTTGTTGTCCCTATCACTATCAGCATTTGGTCAAAACCATTCAACAAGTCTCTAGGAAGTTCCAAACTTTCCCACATTTTCCTCTCTTCTTCTGGACCCTCCAAACTGTTCCAATCTCTGCCTGTTACCCAGTTCCAACATTGCTTTCAGATTTTTGGATATCTTTATAGCAGCATCCCACTCTCTGTGGTACCAATTTACCATAGTAGTTTGTTCTCATGCTGCTAATAAAGACCTACCTGACACTGGGTAATTTATAAAGTAAAGAAGTTTAATTGACTCATAGTTCTGCATGGCTGGGGTGGCATCAAAAAACTTATAATCATGGGGGAAGAGGAAGCAAACACATCCTTCTTCACATGGTCACAAGCAGAAGCAGAAGAAGAAAAGCCCCTTACAAGCCACCAGATCTCATGAGAACTTACTATCATAAAAACAACATAGAGGTAACTGTCCCCCATGATTCAATTATCTCCCACTGGGTTTCTGCCATGACACGTGGGGATTATGGGAACTATAATTCAGTGTGAGATTTGGGTGGAGACACTGCCAAACCATATCACACTGCTTTATTTTTCTTCACAGAACATATTACTATTTGACATTATATCATGTCTTTTCTTTAAGTCTCCCATCTCCATAAACCATTGTGAAGTCTGTTTAAGTGTATGATACATAATAGTGAGATGGGAGAGTTCCCTGACCCACCTTGCAGGATATGTGACAGGGGCGTGGCTGTCTGTTTGGCCACCATGAGCTCAAACCCCTTACAGGAGGGGGAGTATGCAGATGGGCAGCTGCATGAACTGAGATGAGTGTTTTTTGACTCTGGTCCCACAGCAGTGTCTAGGGTTGAGTGCCTGTGATTCTTGAAGCCCCAGTGTTACAATGCTCTTTTAGCTCTGCTGTCCACAGATGGCTTAAGTCCACATCTCAATGCCCCCTTGATACCCAGGGCCTTGTCTAGCATCCTGGAAGAATCAGCTTACCTATGGACTTGAAGAGTAGTGAGTGTGGGGGTTTTACTGAGTGGTGGAGGTGGCTTTCAGTTGGTGGGATGGGAAGCTGAAAGTGGAATGGAGTGGGAAGATAATCTTCCCCTGGGGTTTGGCCGTCCTGTGGTCAAACTCCTCTCTGGCTATCCCTAGCTGGACTCCTCTTGATGTTCAGATGCTCCTTCTCTTCTCTCCTCTGCCATGCCGTTCTTCTGCTGCTTGGCTCTTCTGCTCATCTCTTCATGAAGTGTGGGTTTGGCATTTATATGGGTACAGAATAGGTGACGTGGTGGACCAAAATGCAACGTTTGGGTGCAAAAACAGGAATGCCTGTTCCCACTTACAGTCACGGGTTACCAGGGTTGAGAGTGGGGCCTTTTCTGGGGAACCACCCTCTTCTACCCAGTATTTTCCTGTCTCCTGTCTGTGTCAATAGGTACACAATATTTATTAATTGTGACTATATAGTCATGAATAACTATATATTATGAAATGGGAAATGCATGGTACAAGGAGAATTGCTGTCCTTGAAAAGAAATTTAATTTTTTTTTTTGAGTTGGAGTCTTGCTCTGTTGTCTAGGCTAGAGTGCAATAGTTTGATCATGGCTCCCTGCAGCCTCAAACTCCTGGGTTAAAGTGATCCTCCTACATCAACCTCCCAAGCAGCTGAGACTACAGGCATGGTGTCATCAGACCCAGCTAATTTTTGTATTTTTTTTTAGAGATGGGGTCTTGCCATGTTGCCAAGGCTAGTCTCAAACTCTTGGTCTCAGGCAATTAGCCTGCCTCAGCCTCCCAAAGTGCTGAGATTGTAGGCATGAGCCATCATGCCCAGCCAATCTAAAATTAAGTTTCATTATCCTCCACAATGTTTAATTTTGTTTTTGAACTCTATATGGATTAAAAGCAGCTTTTAATTAAAGGTCATATGTGTGTCTACACACACATGTATGGAGATGTTTAATCACTGGCAAGCAAATGAGTATGTTAAACTTTTAGGCAGTTGATAGGAAAAATCATGTTTTTTGCTACTTTTTTTTAACAATTGCAAAATGTTCACTTATCTCCAAATGACTGTATTGCAACCAAGTTAGCTATATGCTGAACATTTTAGCTTTGGCCAGAATATTTAACTACATACATAGTGTCAATTTACAACAAAATTTGTCCAATATTTGTAGATAAAAGTCTATATTTTTAAAAGGTGGCAAAGATTTTTCATAGGATAAAGAAAAGTGTTTCCCAATAAACTTTCAGAAAGACCCCATCTGAGTTCTGGTGGAATTTGAAATTGAAACAGTTTTTCCATTCATTTTCACCAGCATATTTCCATTAATTTTCAGACCATCTTTCTTAAATAGTCCAAAACTCTGTTTTCTATGAGACTTCATATAAATCACCATAGGTTTGAGATGGTTCTTATGAGGTATTATCAAGTACAACTTCCTCAAAATAGGACTAAACTTTAACCACTAGGCATGCACATTTTATTTATTCTGGAAGCAGTCCACGTAAAGCAATGTCATGTTCATTGATAAATGTCTCTTTTCTCTGGCCTACCTGAGTATATGGTACCAAATTGCCAATATAAAAATTGTTGTGGTCTCTAAAATTTTTTTAAAGATAAAATTTACTACTCATGGTCATCAAATAAATAATTAACTCCTCTCATCTCTACCAAAAATTGTCCCTTCTTTCTCTGACTCCACACCTCAGACATTAGCATGCAAGGTTATCATTTTCTTTCATCTTCTGTATAAAACTGTTAAATGAATATTCACCTTTCTTTTTATAATTATGTTGTTCTTTCCTCCATCTCTATTTTAACTTTCCTTCTTTACTCCTTTCCTCTCCATCATTTTTATTCTTCTTCCTTCTTTCTTTTCTCTTTTTTTTGAACTTTATTCCTTTTTTTCTTGCCTCCACAAACATTTATTAGGTACTATTCTAGATATTAGTTACATGGAACTGAAGATTCTAGACCTTGAGAAATTTATTTTTAAAATATCTAACAGTAGAAGTTTACTTATGAAGTTAATATACCAAGTCACAGAAAGGATAAGATACTTATTTGAACTAATTCAGCTTATTCAACAAATGACAAAGCTGATTTATTTATTTATTATTTTATTCATATATTAACATAATATTTGTGCAGTAGCTTTTGTGTGACAAGAACTGATCTAGATGCTAGAGATACAGAAGTGAACCAAACAGACAAAAATCCCTGACCCCTCTGGAGTATAAAATCTAGTGACATTTCACAGCACATGCTGGCTTTAAGTATCTGGCCAGTATCCCAAGTATTAATTGGCTTGCTTCTGTACTGACCGTGCTCATGAACTTCCTTCTCTTATATACCTATAATTTGCATATGTAAACTTGGATCATCCATAGCAGAACCAGAATTAAGAGTAGAAAATATTGAACTCTAAGGTAAAAATGTTATTAGTTCAAGCCCAAGACAAAAAGATATAAATATGGACTTGTAGAGCTAGTTTCCTACTTGAAGAGACTAGATAAAAGATGCCAGAAACTGGAAAAGACTGAAGAGGAAGAAAGACCATGTGGATAGAAGGGCAGAACACTTATCCCCTCAGAACGGAGACCATTAAAAAAGAATTTTAAAAAGATATTTACTATGACTGGCCATTCTTTGTGGAAGCTATGCAAAGTACAAATTTGACTTCTTGTTGCTGAATGTGGTCATAATTCCTGTTAATTTTAGAGTTTGAAATGCCACTTTTTTCCTTGAGATAGCCCAGCTATTACATCATCTTTACTCCCATAGAAATAATAATATGGTCTGGAACATTTGTTACCCATCCATATCCATAAACTAGAGGGCAGGGGGCTTGTAGGGTAGAGATACCATGAAGGAAAAGCCTTAGCAATAGTAGGAGTTGGGATAGTTTGAAATAACCACTGAACAGGAATAGCTGTGAACCATGTGGCTTCTGTTATCCACTTAAAAGCTTCTGCTTCTGGTTTAGGTCTGCACTATAACTAGAACTCAAGCAAGCAAGATTGGAGTTTTGCTGAGACACCATAGAAGAACAACTAAATGGGTATGAGTAGTAACAGACAAACTTTCTTATTTCATTCTATCTTTATAGTAATTGTGCAGCACTCACCAGTAGAGCTATCTTTAGCAATTAGGAATGTCACTATTACTGCTTTATATAGGTCCCTTATATTTTATTAGAGCAAATCAGTTCTATTTAAAAAAACCCATTTATTTGGTTTGATATTTTCCCATCTCCTATCAATGCAATTAGAGTTATTTGAGTTATTTTTTTAAAAACTTATTTATTTATTAATTTTGAAATAGGGTTTTCCTCTGTCACCCAGGCTGGAATGCAATGATGATCATAGCTCACTGTAGCCTCAAACTTTGGGCTCAAGTGATCCTCCCTACTCAGCCTCCCAAGTAGCTGGGATGACAAGTGTACACCACCACATGATTAGTTTTTGTATGTTTTGTAGATACAGGGTGTTACTATGTTGTGCAGGCTGGTCTCAAACTCCTGGCCTCAAGTGATCCTCCCACTTCAGCCTCCCAAAGTGCTGAAATTACAGGCATGAGCCACCATGCCCAGCCAAAACTTTCAATTCCATAAATCACTCATATACTATATCTTTAAGTAGCTCAGCAAGATATACATAATGAACTAACCCATAGAATTATTAATAATATATATGCCATTGCCCTACACTTGGAATTTGAGGCAGTTTAGATTTGATTGGTTAAATTATATATAAATGCTGAAGCAATTTTCCATTGGGTAGGAATCTCCACATCTTCAGAAAAAAAAAACAAAAAACGTTTTCTGGGCTTAAATTTTCAGATTTGTTATTCAAAACAAGAAATATAAAATCTATTTCAGAAAATAGTTTATTAAACATCAGAGGTAAGGATAAAATTAACAGCCATGCTGCTGAAGCAATTAGACTTATATAGATTAAGAAGAAAATGCAGTATTTATCTCTGTTTGTTAATGTGCTCAAGAAGGCCAATAGGACGAGTAAAATGTTGGATGCCAACAAGAATGTGATCCATTCCATTGACCATAGGGGGAGGTATAGTGGAACCACACAGAAACATTGTCTTCCATTCTTTTTTTTTGAGACGGAGTTTCGCTCTTGTTACCCAGGCTGGAGTGCAATGGCGAGATCTTGGCTCACCGCAACCTCCGCCTCCTGGGTTCAGGCAATTCTCCTGCCTCAGCCTCCTGAGTAGCTGGGATTACAGGCACGCACCACCGTGCCCAGCTAATTTTTTTGTATTTTTAGTAAGACGGGGTTTCACCATTTTGACCAGGATGGTCTCAATCTCTTGACCTCGTGATCCACCCGCTTCGGCCTCCCAAAGTGCTGGGATTACAGGCATGAGCCACCGCGCCCGGCCTCCATTCTTATTAGAAGAAAAATGTCAAATAAACACCAAAGCTAAGATGGGAGGAAAGAATAGAGTCAAAGGGAAGCTAAAATATTTGACTGAATATCAGGTTTCTGAGAGTCAAATGAAATAAAATGTGAAATAGAGAAATAAATGAGAGCTAGGATTAAGAATTTGTTAAAGAGATTTAAATAGTAAAACCCATTTCTCATTGACTGGGTCTGGCAGAAACTCCTCTAAAGCATCTAAAGAGTATAACTTTAGGAATGTAGGCTACTGTTTTCTTAGGGGTGGGAGGAAAATATGGTATTGGAACCAAAACAGGAAATGCTCTTCTATCCTCCTTTGCATTTTGATCCTTCAGGTAATCTTAGTCAACACTTCAGCTGCAAGTTATATGAGAACTACCGAAGTTTCAGACATGGACACTTAAAACCAAGGAATAAAGACTTGCATTATAATAGAGCAAAAATTTAGAAAATTAAGTGGAATGATAAAGTATAAATAGAAATTTCAATGGAAGAATAAAGGATATTTTGAAAATTCAGAAATCATAAACAATATTAATAAAAGGAAGACTGACTTCTGTAACACTGTAAGAGTTAAATGACTAACACGTGTAAAATTTTAAGGAAACAGATGAAAAAATAAAAGATAAAGGTAGCTGCTGAGGTTTCAATCTTCAGATCTCAGGGGCATAAAACTGTAACAGTGTTGTCCACCAAGGACTAAATAGGAACTGTGTTTCATGTCATTATCTTAGTTACTCTGGAACCCAAGCTGATGACACCATCACTATCAGGGACATTGTTGACAGACAGAAAGGGAACATGGTAAAGGATGAACTTCCTTTCAGTCTTCTTCCAGGCAGTGGCACACTTGACTTGACTTGCATTTTGTTGGCCAAAGCAAGCCACAGGACTATGCCTGAGTTCAAAGGAAGGGGAAATGCAATTCTATTGTATGCTAGCAAAGAAAAAGGGATCCAGATATTGGGGAACAGATTCAGTGATTGCCACAGTAGTAAACTTTAAATAATCATTGTTTTTCCAAGTGGAATAGGCTACATATGCAATTGATTTCCAAAGAGATTCAGCTACATTAAAGAATGCAACTATAAATGGAATTTGTTAAGAAGCTTAAGGATGTTTTACAGAATACCCTAATGGCTTCTTCTCTCATGTCAAAGAGAAAAACCATGAACTTTCAAAGCCTTCCTTGGAGCTTGTAAAATAGAATAAGAGACCAGTTTATGAATCAAACTTCCTGCTCAAGATTATCTGTTCTCATATAATCCTTCTTTCTTACAGGCTAGAGATGCTAATTAATTTTCCAGTTGAATTTCTATATCTCTCCATCATTATGTATTCCAAATGATAGGGTGTCTGAATTGGCAACTGAGTTTTATATGGAAAAATAGTTAATAAAATACCAGAAGGGCTGGGATCTGAATTAGATCTGAATATAAACAAGGGATAACATTATCTCCAGATATCATCATCAGTCTCTAACAATGGTTCTCAACATTTGGTATACATTAGAACCACCTTTGAATTGAAAAAAACATAGCAATACCCAAGCTCTACCCAAGATAGATTAATTCGGACTCTCAGTGGTGGGAAGTGTGCATGTGCATTTTGAAAAGGTGGTGCAGCATATTGAAATAGGCAGTATAGTTTGAGAAACATTGGTCTGCAAAACAATGTTTGACTCAAGGAAGGCTAAAAGGCCAGAATTGTCCCAAGTAGTTACTGTCTTCAAATTTTTTATCTCCCAAACTCAAGAGAATGGATATTGGCACATTGGCTGCAGCAAGTTCACTTTAATGTGATTGGATTGGGAAAAGGAACTAGGAGTACTTGGGGTCCCACATAGTCCATTGGGTGAAAGGTCAAAGCTAAATATTCATTGTTTGTTGCTACTGCTTTTGGCATAAAGATCCAGACCATGTTATTCTGAATTGCAAGATTTACCTGGTTAACCCAGGTAATCACTAATCAGTGGTGAAACCAGACCTTGCTCCTAGCTTAGGTTGGAACTTGGCTAGCCTCTAAACTAATCTTTTATTCTTGCTATTGTCACGAACAACACAGAACTTCCAAGAGAATCAAATGCCATCAATTGCTTTGGAAGAATGGAATGTGTAGTCAGAAGTATGAGCATGGACTTGTCTGAAGCCAAGATACCAAATCAATGGGCATTGGGTAGCCAGGAACACTCTATGCTTGGATATGGGAGGCCAGAGGTCATTGGCAAAGTAAAGTAAGAAGAATGTAAACTCGTATGCACTGCTTGCCTCTTATTTGCCAAGGACTTTTCATGAACTATTCAATCTTCACAATTACCATTCTAGAAAGATGTTATTAACTCTATTTTACAGAAAAAAAATTGAAGCTGCAGGAGTTAATGATGATCACCCCCATAGGTGTGTGGATTTGGTATATCAATTATTTTAAGGTGAAAGAACTTGAGAAACTGTGTTTGCAGAAAGGGCTTTCAGACCTGTCCCTTCCTACATATATTAAGCCATAAAAATTCCTTGGAGAAGAGTGCCTTCCTTGTACCAGTGTTACAATATAACCCTTATCACCAGAGACTCAGAATTACTGCTGCAATGGACCTGTACAAGTAAACTTACTGAAGAAGCTATTGTCTTCCACTAACTTTACACACTCCCACCATAGGTCTCCTAATAGTCATTCTTCCCTAGAATTTACTGTCTCTAGCCAGATCTTTCTGTCATTTCTTCACAAATCTCTTATTCTTTGTCTAAAATGTATAAAAAAGTTTCTGCTTTGACCATTTTCTTCAGGTCTTTGCTCTCTTAGTGATCCCCGGGCACAAGTAAAAATAATGACACTTATATGCTACTCTCTTGTTAACTTGTCTTGTGTCAATTTGATTCCTAGACCCAGCTGAAGATCTCATTTAAGAATTAGGATGGGTAGAAGTGATCTTGAAACTCCCGGACAAATCTAGGAGATTAAGTAACTGGTTTGTGTTTCATAGTTAATAAATAATAAAGGCAAATTTGAATTATTTTCTTAGAAACTCAAAAGCCCTGCTTTTACTAGTATATTACATGGCCTAGAAGGGAAAAAGGGGTGATACAGACAAACTTTGACAGCATCACAATTTTATGTCACAAATACTTGCCCAAAACTACACAATTTTATTAGACTGCAAATCAGGTGCACTAGTGGAATATAATGTAAAATAAGATGTATTTTTGATTTGACAAGCCTCAGCGGAATAGGGTGGGAGTGTACAAATTTTCATAAAAGCCCAAAGTGCTTTTTGGGAGATAAAACATTGCAAATTTCCAAGCCAGCTTTCAGCACCAGACTCATGTGGATGCTCAAGTGTTATTTATTACACTGGCAAAACAAGAGGGACCAAGGCTGAAAATCATGAGTAAACCCTGGAGAGGTGACTCAGGGAGAGTTTTAGAACATTCTCACAGTGGAAAGTTAGAGGTTCACAGTTACATTTATTTGATTATTATAAAAATGTGACCTAAGATATACCAACAATGGTGGTAAGTGGGGCATAGCTACAAACATGTCATCACCTGGAATGTCCCATGAATGTCCCTTTTTCCTCTAAGATGTTATAGTTTCCCTTAAGGATATTCTTTTCTCTCTATTCTACTCTTGAAAGCATTTCAAAGCCCCTTATTCTGAATTCAGTATGTTGTAGCCAGTGCCACCCAAATCCCTCAGGGACTCCTTAATACTTTGGGGGCATCCTTTGAAACTTTTAATTCTTCCTCCCACTATTGGGACTGGCCAGGGTTGTAGTGCCATTGGGAGGAGAATCAGTACCTGCCTCTGACCTGGTCCCATTTTATCCTGTTTGCAGTGCTCTCCTGTTCTGTTCTCTGACCCCATGATATGACCACCCAGATTTTCTGAGGAGCTCTGGGATGCATGCCTCTGAGATCATCTTAGAATCCTGGACTGGGACTCAGAGCCAGAAGAGTGACGTGATGAGAAGATTGTTCCTGCTGGCCAGCATGGTACTTCCTTTGGAGGATCAGGAGAGATTTTGGATGATTCTTATTCCCATATGACATAAGATGAACTCAGGGCTCTGGCTATGGAAAGAGTTGGGGTTCAACTCCAGTCCTTGGCCTTATGCTGCATGAATGGGCCCATGCATCCACTCAGGCCCAACTATGTTCTAATTGTGGTGCCACCTGTGGTCCATGGCACTAAAGGGCTGTGATGATGGCAGCAGGTATCTTTAACCCTGTAAGCATAGTCTCCAACTGACAACCAGGGCTCCATCCCAACCTCTCTACAGGTTCTATGCCAGGTATCAGGCACTTCTCCTGGGATGGCCTCACCTATCTCCCTAACCCTCCTTTCTGAGAGCTTTTGAAACCATTTTTCTGCCACACTAAGGACCCATTCTAATCAATGACTTTTCCTGCTTCTGACAGATGTGGCAATGCCTTACTCCTCCTGGATGACCTTAAAGTGTGCATTTTGAATGGCCCTTCCTTCAATGAATGGGATTTTTTTTTTTTTAAATCATGCCATTGGGCCCTTCATGCATTCTCCTTGCTGGTGGTAGTGGTATGCAGAAAGCAGGGATGGTCAACATGAAAAGATATCACACTTCAGGAATGCAGTGAAAATGGCTTCATAAGTTCAAGAGAAGACACAGTTGGAAGAAGTATTTTCCTGTTTCTAGAATGTAAAAAATTCTAAACAGTAAATTTAATAATCAGAAAATGAATTGTGATTCATATTTTCCTTAGTACTCTGGGTAAGACCTGTATTTGTGATCATTAATGAAACAGCAACAACCTTTGAGAGAATCATTGGAAGCCAATATTCATGGGTGGCACAATGAATGATTACATTATTACATGAGTAATAATGTAACCAGCATTAAATAAATGGTATTAGAGAACTGAAGAGGGAAGAAAATTCATCATGTTTCAATATAAAAGTTACCAAAGAGCCATGTCATTATGAGTAATAACAGCATTGCTGCATTTTTCTCTTAGTAGGAGATATGAAATCAGCCAGGAATGGAACATTTAACAATAAAGAACACCAAGAGATTGTTCTTGGGCCTGAACAGGAAGAGGTTTTGGGTGCACACTATGAAGTATTTTTACATGCAATGATTGGACCATAAACAAATGCATAAGTATTTGTTCTCTATCCACTATTTTGAAACTTTATTCAGATAACTGAATATACCTAACAGGCCTGTGAATTTCTAAATACGTTTAAGGTCCAATTGTTTATATTTTAATGTATATAAAAGGTATACTTTCCCAGGGTTCTGCATGTCTCAGGGGTGCCCTAATATTAGCAGACAGTCCCAAAGGAAACAGAAGGTACTATGGGATGTCTCCATTATAAAGGAATCTGAATGTATGGAAACACAAGTGCTTTCAGAGAAAAATCAGTGTGTATTCCTAATTGGTAGGCTGAGGGCATAGTCTGAAAGAGAAGAAACTCCAAAACATTAATCAGGGAATAAATGAATAGACAACTTATTGTGCCAGTAAGAAAAAGGGTAGCATCAACATGAACATTAGATACCTCCGAGTGCTAAGCTTTAATAATGGCGAGGGACATAGTTTAACAGTAGGCCCAGGTCTTGATTACTTTTCCTAATGAGAGTGAAGCACAGCATGGAAAAGTGACAACTTGAGATAATTCAAAATGTCACATTAGTTTTGAGTTTCAATCTCTTCCACAACCAGTCTTCATAAAAACTGCTAATGAGTAGTAAATTGGACTGATTTGAGTTTTACTTCGATTTGCTTCTTGAGCTAATCTTTAGAGAAAGGGTTTAAGGCAGTAGGATGTCATGGATAGCGAATGAGAGCAGAATTCAAGCAACCTGAGTCAGAGCCTTTGCTCTACAATTAACAGTTCGTGTGGCCCAGGGCAAGAAAACAAAGAAATCAGCTGTTTATGAACATCTGTCAGGTGCCATGCACCGTGCTAGGTCAGAGGAGACAGATGAACAAGACGGGCCGCCCCCCAACTGCTCACAGACTGGCAATGTAGACTGAGATGTAAAAGGATAATTGGAATATATTGTGATAAGTTTCTTATAGAATTATGAGCAAAGGACTGTGAGAGTCCAGAATATAGTGTGATTAAACAATGAGAATATCAATAAGTATACATGTTAGTCAGTGCTGTAAATAATGAAAGTCGCATATGTAATTTTAGCATTTCTAGGAAGTACATTGAAAAGATTAAAAAGACACAGGTGAAATTAACCTTAATAATATGTTATATTTAACCCAACAGATTCAAAATAGCATTTCAACATAAATAGATATTTCAACATAATAACGAAATAGCATTTCAACATAAATATATATATAAGTTAATTTTATATCTATTTGTTAATGAGATTTTATATCTATTTAATATTTATCAATACAATTTATTAGTTTTATATCTATTAGTGAGAGAGTTTACATTTCTTCTCTAGGTCTGTGAAATTCAGGGTCTATTTTCTACTGTAGCACATGTTAATTTGGACTAATCACATTTCAAGTGCTCGGTAGCCACATGTGGCTAGGGACTACTATCTTGAGCAATGCAATGATAAGTCTGCACTTATGTTGGAAAAGACTTAAGGCAGGGATCCCCAACCTCCAGGCCACAACCGATCCATAGCCTGTTAACCCAGCCACACAGCAGGAGGTGAGAGACGGCCAGCAAACAACATGTCATTTGTATTCACAGCCACTCCCCATTGCTCTTCTAACCACCTGAGCCCCCACCTTCTGTCAGATCAACGAAGGCATTAGATTCTCATAGGAGTGCAGACTTTATTGTCAACCTCACACATGAGAGATCTAGGTTATACTCCTTATGAGAGTCTAATGCCTGATGACCTGTCACTGTCTCCCATCACCTCCATATGAGATTCTCTTGTTGCAGGAAACAAGTTCAGGAATCCCACTGATTCTACATTATGATGAGTGGTATAATTATTTCATTATATATTACAATGTAATCATAATAGAAATAAAGTGCACAATAAATGTAATGTGTTGGAATCATCCCAAAACCATCCCCTGTACCCCCAACAGTTGGTGGAAAAATTGTCTTCCATGAAACCAGTCCCTGGTGCCAAAAAGGTTGGGAACTGTTGACTGAAAATATTTCTGCATTATTTAATGAGGAATTCCTAGCTTAACCTAAGAACATTTGAAAAACACCTAGAGATGTTTAATGTTCTACAGCAATGGTTCCAATGCATGACTTCACAAACTTATAATGATACTGATAAGAATCTCATGGGAAATGTAAAAAGACACACTCTCAGGTTCCTGAGATTCTGAATCATTGAGTTTTGAGCAGATTTTAGGAATATTTACATATACGAAAATCATTGATTAGTCCTAGGTTTGTCCAGGTTGGGAACTACTGGCCAGTAAGCTCCTTATAAGTCACCTGTGGAAATCAAAAGGGCAATTTGATTTCAGGTAGCATTAGCAGAATGATCTTCCTCTGTGTGAATGGCCACAAGTGAAGTGTTTTTGTTGTTGTTGTTGTTATTGTTTGTTTGTCTTTTAAATTATACTTTAAGTTCTGGGATACATGTGCAGAATGTGCAAGTTTATTACATAGGTATACACATCCTATGGTCGTTTGCTGCACCCATCAATCCTTCATCTACATTAGGTATTTCTCTTAATGCTATCCCTCCCCAAACCCCACACCCCCAACAGGCCCTGGTGTGTGATGTTTCCCTCCCTCTATCCATGGGTTCTCATTGTTCAGCTCCCACTTATTAGTGAGAACATGTGGGGTTTTTTTGTTCCTGTGTTAGTTTTCTGAGAATGATGGTTTCCAGCTTCATCCTCCCTGCAAAGGACATGAATGCATCCTTTTTTTAAGGACTGTATAGTGTTGCATGGGGTTTATGTGCTGCATTTTCTTTATCCAGACTATTACTTATGGGCATTTGAGTTGGTTCCAAGTATTTGCTATTGTGAATAGTGCTGGAATAAACAGACATGTGCATGTGTCTTTATAGTAGAATGATATATAATCCTTTAGGTATGTATCCAGTAATAGGATTGCTGGATCAAATGGTATTTCTGGTTCTAGATCCTTGAGGAATCACCACACTGTCTTTCACGATAGTTGAACTAATTTAAAATCCCACCAACAGTGTAAAAGCATTCCTGTTTCTCCACATCCTCTCCAGCATCTGTAGTTTCCTGACTTTTTAATGATTGCCATTCTAACTGGTGTGAGATGGTATCTCATTGTGGTTTTGATTTGCATTTCTCTAATTTCTAGTGATAATGAGCTTTTTTTTCTTATTTGTTGGACACATAAATGTCTTCTTTTGAGAAGTGTTTGTTCATATTCTTTGCCCACTTTTTGATGGGGTTGTTTGTTTTTTTCTTGTAAATTTGTTTAAGTTCCTTGTAGATTCTGGATGTTAGCCCTTTGTCAGATGGATATACTGCAAACATTTTCTCCCATTCTGTAGGTTGCCTGTTCACTCTGATGATAGTTTCTTTGGCTGTGCAGTATTTCTTGAGAAACTACATTGCTTGTCTTCCTGGAGTGGTGTGGTATCTGGAGCCAGCCCTGACTTCAACTCTTATTACTCTATCACTTCCTCAGCCTAGAATGGATGGCATCTCTACACTAGGCTTCAGGAAGGTATGCAGGTTTTATTTTTCCCTTTGGGTCACATTTTTTTTTTGTCTGATGTTTTTCAGATGAATTATCTCAAAGTTGGCTATGCATTACAGTCATCTAGATAACATTAAAATTATTTTTCATGGATTCCGTTTTGAGCAGAGGAAGTGGAGCCTAGAACTCTGTATTTTTACATATTCTTCAGTAAGCACTTGGTGTGTGGAAAAACGTTGGCAGAGGCAGTGACCTAGAGAATTATTTGAAAATGTGTTGCTAGGGTTTCTGGTTCCATTGATAGATTTCAGCTTTGTTTACTACCATATACAGTATGAGTTAATGGCCTACGGCAGTCTTTGTTTGATATTTGCCTCTGCAGTTTACTAACTGTATGATCTTGTTAAGATATTTACCATGTTCAAGATTGTGCTTCCTCATCAGTAGGGTGGAGATAATAATATTCAGTTTGAGGACTATTGTTTGAGTTCTCAGGCTCAGGTCTTGGTTCTTCTTCATGTTTAATCACTCTGATCTCATCTAGTCTTGTGGCTTGAAATAGCACCTACAGCTGATGACTCCCAAATTAACATCTCTAATCTGTCCTGTTCTCTAATCCATACTAATTTACATGAATATCTGATAGGCAGCTCACATCTAACATGCCGAAAACATAACTCTGTAATCAATTTCCAGAATTGTTTTTTAACTCATCTCAGTAAATGGCAACTCTGAAGTTCTAGTTGTATAGGTCAAAAGCCATAGTCTCACTTTGATTCATTTCTTTCTCCTATACTTCACATTAGTAAATGTTACCAACTCTGCTTTTAAAATACCCAGAATTTGGTAACATATCACCAACTCTACCATTGCCACCTTGGTCATTTCTAACCTAGATTATTTCAATGGCTTTTCAACATTTCCTTGCTTTTGTCCCTCTGTTCCCCAACTGTCTGTCCTCAGTAGAGTAGCCAGAGTGACACTTTGGAAACTTAAGTCAAAATCACATTACTGCTCTGCTCTACTTGAGATGGGTTCTCTTTTAGAGTAAAACCTCAAATCTTTAAAACCACCTACAAAGCAACATTTGACCCGGAATTCTGTTTCTTCTCCAATCTCAATTTCTCCTTATTTTCTCCTAGCTTATTCTTTAGGCACATTTGTGCATATCCTCTAAAACAACAAACATAGCCTTATTTCTGAGTCTTTGCAAATGTCATTTCTTTTCTGTCATATTCTTCTTCCCTCAATGTTCTTTGTTTTTTGTTTTTGTTTTAAGATGGAGTCTTGCTCTGTTGCCCAGGCTGGAAGTGCAGTGGTGTGATCTCAGCTCACTGCAACCTCTGCCTCCCAGGTTCAAGCTATTCTTCTTCAGCTTCCCAAGTAGCTGGGACTACAAGTGCATGCCACCATGGCCTGCTAATTTTTGTATTTTTAGTAGAGACAGGGTTTCACCATGTTGGCCAGGGTGGTCTTGAACTCCTGACATCGTGATCCGCCTGCCTTGGCCTCCCAAAGTGCTGGGATTACAGGCATGAGCCACCGCACCTGGCCCCCACAGTGTTCCTCACTTCCTTCAGATTTCTGCTTAAATTTCACCTTCTCTGTAAAGCCTACTCTGATATTCATATTTGAACAATTTTTCTCCCTTCCTTGCTGATATTTCTTTTATCCCTTTTACCTTTTGCTTATTGTCTACTTCTCTTTACTAGAATGTAATCTACCCAAAGGCCAGGATAACAGTTGGTTTTGCTGATACATATACTCATTGCCTAACACAGTAAATGGCACATATAAGGCACTCAACAAGTATTTGTTGAATAAATAAATATATGTCAATACCAAATATATAGTAGAGGCTCATGTAAAGTAACAAGCTTTCCCTCCTTTGACTGAGAGGTAGACTTTAGTTAGCCAGAAATTTCGCACTTTAAAATTTTTGGTCGAGAATATTTGAGATTTTAAAAAATAACTAGGAAGCTGATTAGGTTGGTGAGACTTTCATGAGAGTTGGAGTATTAGTTGAGCAAGCATTTTGAAACAGACTCTTTGGCTGAGACATTGGGTCTCTATTTTCATAGGACTTCCACTAACTCACAGATTTATGCTAAAATTCCCATTTCTTTTTCTTCCTTCTAGTAGACATCTATAGATTTTACTACCAGTTCCTCCATTTCTAGGAGTTTTACCACTGACTATCCACATGATTGTAGCAGGGGTTACTATGTTAGAAAAGTGCGAACATATCTCATTTAAATTTGATTGAATCAGGGGTGAGCATTTACGCATAACCAATGAGTCCCTCCCTGTGCAACTTGGACTTCTAACTAGTATCTTTAAAGATACATACAGTGGATTCAACTGTGTTCCTCAAAAAGGTATGTTTAAGTCCTAACCTCTGACACCTGGGAATGTGATCTTATTTGGAAATAGGGTCTTTGCAAATACAGTCAACTTGTGGTGAAGTCCGAGGAGCAGAGGAAACCAAAAGAGAAAAGAATGATACTGGTATGCCAAGAGGGTTTTCTTTGAGCCATAACTGAGTCCTTGGTCCTAATTTTACAGCCAGTTCTCAAGTTGGCTCACACTAAATTTTCAAATTAATTTGAGCTGGTTTCTGCTACTTGCAACCAAAGAAGCCTCATCCATACATGTCTCCTTCAGAGGGATTTATTTTGTGAATCTTCTTTTCCTTCAAGATTCTCCATATCTAAAAACATAACTAACCCTTCCCTACTATTTTAATTAACACCATTTAAACCAAGCATTCCTGTTTATCTCTTAGGACTCAACGTGAACCATTTGCATGAAACTTAAATAAATGCCTTTGGATTTGAAAATGACTCCCTCACAAAGACAGTTAGAGTCTCTACCATCTGTAAAATGAGAAAAAACTATTATCAGTAAAAAATCTTTCTAGCTCTATGACTTCTTTAGAGACCATTACACTGGAGTGATTTCTGAACTCTTTTTCTGTGAACTTGCTATGTGTAAAGTACTGTTCTGAACACTGAAGGAATGCAGAGATAAATGAAACAATGTTACTTTCCTCAGAGAGTTTAGAGATTAGTGAGTGATGAGACCTAGAAACAATACTTTAAAAACTAGGATGACATGAACCAAGTGCTGCAATAGAAGTACCATCAATGGGTTGAGAGGAGAGCACGACTATTTCCAGCTGGGTTATTATTGCTGCCTTGATGGATGAGTAGAATTTTGATAGATGGAGCTAGATGGTCTATCCTCCCCTAAGAAAACTTACATTAGGTGTCCCTGTTAAATACTCTCATAGCTTCCTGTATATCTCCCTAATCATGGTGTGTTTTAACTATTCTACTGCAAGCTCTGTAAGAACAATAATCACATTTGTTGTGGCCAGTGTCGTAGCTTCAG